TGTGTGTGTGTGTGTGTGTGTGTGTGTGTGTGCTGGGTCTGAGAGGCTTGTCTCTGAGATGGGCTGGCTCATGTGTGTCATGTGGGCTGCGTGTGTGGAGTGTTTATGTCAGTCACGTGAGATCAATGTTTCTATCGGAGGTGTGTGCTGCTGGAGCTATGCAGGATTAGAGTTAGCTGCTTGTGCCCTCCTCTCTCTCTTTCTCTGAAAGATGGTGAGGGTCTTGGAGAATCCAGAGGCTCCTATAGGTGCTTGTGGCTGGTGTGTGTGTGTGTGCATGTGAGGGGCTGTGTGACTGACCTGTGTGGGCACATAGTTGGGGGTAAGGACGTGTCCTCTGTGCCCTGGGGTCTGAGAGGGCATGCAGTTCAGTCCTGGGATGTGCAAGTCAGCTCTCTAGGGGTTGTGTGAGTGTGAGGATAAGGCGTCTGTGTGTCCCTGGGTTGCCTGTGGGGTTTGGGCAGCTTGTAGATGTGGGCAGGGGCTTGGGCTAGCTCCTTTGGGCTGGGGGTATGGCCCTCATGTAAATATCTGTTCACAGATTGGCCAGAAAGTGTGTGTGTGTGTGTGTGTGTGTGTGTGTTCTGATATAGAGACCAGCTCACTGTTGGTATGCACATGGCTGGTGGGGAGGGAAGCCAAGCTGGGGCCTGTGTGAGTGAGTACTTTGTGTGTGCTTCACCCCAAGGTCCTCTCCAGCTGGGAGAATCCCAGTGTGAGGTGCCCTGCATGTGTGCTGATCCCTCTGTTCCAGAAGTTTCCCTAACCAGTCTATGTCTAGTTCAATCCCAGTCTGAGTGGGCTTATGTTATAACTGTGATAGAACACACACACATACACACACCCCACCACCATTACCCCCTGCCAGTCCCCTCCATCAAGTCTGTTGGGAACCCTCATACTTGTTGTGAGAGTTGCAGTCTGCAGGTAAGCCATGTGGCTGTGCGCACAGCACAGGCTGACCCAGCCCCTGCCCCATGTCAGCCTTGGCTGAGGGGGTGTCCAGTTTGAGGCTCTGTGGGTTGTGCTCTGACCCCCCACCCCCGTGTGCTCACTACCATGGGGCTCTGCGCCCCCTGCACTGCATGTCCCCGCTGACCTGCCCCTCCCCTGTGTCCCGCAGGCTCCAGGGCGCGCCATGGCCCGCGCACGCCAGGAGGGCAGCTCCCCCGAGCCTGTAGAGGGCTTAGCTCGAGACAGCCCGCGCCCCTTCCCGCTTGGCCGCCTGGTGCCCTCGGCCGTGTCCTGTGGCCTGTGTGAGTCTGGACTGCCCGCCGCCCCCGCCCTGCTGCCTGCCGCCTACCTCTGTGCCCCCACCGCCCCGCCTGCAGTCCCCGCCGCCCTGGGGGCCCCCCGCTGGCCTGGAGGTCCCCGAAGCCGGCCTCGAGGCCCGCGCCCCGACGGTGAGTGCTCGTCCCATGCCCGGAAGCCAAAGAGGGAGACCTGGGGAAGTGGGAGCGAAGTGGGTTGGAGGGGGGGCGGGGGCGGGGGAGCCGGCCACGGGTAGGGTGTGGCCAGTGTGGTCTTTGTGTTGCAAGAAGCAGGAAGACCGATTGGGAGGCGGGGTGGGGTGGGGAGAGGCCCAGTGGGAAGTCCCTTTTGGAATCTGACTGCTGTCCCTAAGTTGCAAACAGGCCAAGGCCCCTTCCGGGGCATTGGGCCACAGCTGTCTCTCAAACTGGGTCTCCTGGGGACTGGAGTTGGAGTAGGGTGGGCAAGTGGGGGGACAGGCCCCTCTGGACGTGGGGTGGCCCCGTGCCTTTATTACACCTCTGGCCAGGCTCGGGCCCTCTCCGCCTTCCCGGAGGAAGGAGAGGGGGAGGGGCTATTGTGTGGGGAAATTCCCCTCGGGGCGGGGTGAGTCGTGGGGACCGAAGGGTTAAAGGTCCCCTGCCGGATGGGCTGTTAACCCTGTGCTGCCCGGGGAGGCTCTGCCCTACTGGCCAGCCTGCCCAGTGTGAAAGAAAGGACAGCCCTCCTTTGCGAGGAGGTGGGGGAAGAGGAAACTTCTCAGGCACCGTCCAGGCGGGGGAGGGGCATCCCACAGTCGAGAGCCGGGTCACAGCTGGGGAAACTGAGGCCCTGGCTCCTACCCGCCTAGGCTCAGGGAGATCGCCTTGCCCGATCCCTCCAGGCTGGAGGGAAGTCCGGGGAACTCAGTCAGGGGGGAGGGGGAGAGGTAGCACCAAGCTCCCCTCCCCCCCGCCAGCACGGTCCCCGGAGGCGGCCTGAGCCTGGCCTTCTGGTCTCAGTCCCAGCCACATCCGGGGGCGTGGCTTCATCGTGGTCGGGCTGGACCGGGCCTCGAGACCTGAGGCTGGTGACTCTGGGTGGGGTCAGTGGCGGTATCCCGGGGTGACCTTCCCAGGGTGGGCCTCAGTTTTCCCCATCTGTCAAATGGGGCTGGCAGTGTTGTTTCCCCCCACCCCAATTCCCCTCCCCTCTGGGGAATCGAAGCCTGTAATCTGCCTAAAGGAAGGGCTTGCAGGCTGGACTGGGCAGGCCGCGGGAAGACCTCGAGTCCTGGTCCCTGTGCTCAGGGGTGGCCTAGTGGGCCTGAGAGGGGACGGGAGCCGCTAGAAATGAGGCGGGGAGCGGAAGAAAAGCCAGGCGTTTGGAAGCTCCCTTTGCCACCTGCGTCCCCGGGTCCCCAGGGACACCTCGCAGGCCGG